GAAGGGAAGGGAAGGGAAGGGAAGGGAAGGGAAGGGAAAGGAAGGGAAGGGAAGGGAAGGTAGTAAGAAAGACAGGCTGGTTTGCCTGCATGCTTCCTTCCACCTAAGCTCTCAGACAGGTGAGGCTGGGATCGCTACTTGCCGGCATTACCTGGCAAGAGATGCTCTCTGCTCAGCAGACCTGCTGTTTCCATGCCGGGATGTGACTGCAGGTCTGCCTGGGTGCTGACAGAAGCAGAGGGTGAGGTAAAGGAGGCACTGGAGGAGCGAGGTCAGGCAGGCCCAAAGGTGCTCTGTACTCTTTCCCAGCCCCGAACTCATGCAGGCTCTACACTGACTAAGCCCAGGTGCCTGGAAGGGTGAAACCGGCATTGCAGAGACCCTTAAGGTGCAAGGTGGCTCCTCAATTCTACAAGCTTTGAGGCGCTGGCACCAGGACTTGTCCTTGAGGAAAATGCCAATGCTGTTTCACCACCAGGGTAACATGTAGTTCTTTATGCCTGAAGAGACCTTGCTGAACTTACTGACTTGGAAGGAACCTACTTTCCCCATCCCACAGCTTTTCCTGAAGGAATCCATTCACCTCCGCATTTTAAAGAGGATGGCAGTTAACTCAAGTAAAATCGAACTTGGGTGACTCAGGCAGCCTGCGAGCAGAAAGCTAGTGTTTTAGTTCATGCGTGGGAAGTACTGGAATGCCTGCTACCTAGGTCTGAGAACAATCCGTTGGCCGAGTGCAATGTGCTTTATAAGCAAGAGAAGCACCCCGATTGCCAGAAGAACCTAATTATCACTGTGTGTTTCTGATAGAAGTAATATGGCATGAGTGTTAACTGCAGCCTTGTTTATAGTCACAGAAAAAAACAAAATAGCCCAAATGTCTATAAAAAGGGATGATTCCATAATCCTCTTATGCTTAATAATAAAGAATAAAAAGTAATGAGATAGAAAGAAGCCCTGTGTATTCAAGCTTGGAAAGACATTGAATCATATTTTTGAACAAAAGAAAGGCAAAGGAAGAATAATATATCAGTTATGAAAACAACCTCCCAAATTAATTTTCTGTATATTTTCTCCTGGCAGAGTTATTCCCTGTAAAATGCAAAGAAAAGTGTTTCCAAACATGCCTAACAAGCACATCACAGTTGCATGGGAAAAGGATCAGGACTGGTTGGTAATCTAAACTTTTTTTTTAACATATAAAGCCAATCTATGTATTTCTATTCCAAGTAAATTACACATGTAATGGCAATGAAGTGAAAAATTACACATGTAATGGCAATACTGTAGTGACTACATTAAACACCGGATGCTTATGGAATACCAGTGAATTAACACAGAGCCCGTGGGCATCTGGGGTGATACGCTGGGGAGATGGGCTCACAGGAGGAGAGGCAGATAGCTCTTTTCAGTGTCACCTCTACTTTGTCTCTTGCCAGCTCTTGATTTGGCTACAGACACTGCAAATGGGAATTCAATGGTAATTCAGACTTTTGCCCCAGTGAAAGGGCTAAATGTATCATTCAGATCGCATGCTGATTGGTGAGTTTACTACCGTCACCTTCCCCAGACTTGCATCTGTGGGACTGTGCTTGAGACTTCACTGCTTGACTTGCAAACATCTTTCTTAGGAGTGCAGGACACTCAGCATGCCTGCTGAGGGCATGTTATAACGTAGTAGTTATCATGTGTTCATTTTACATATAAACTTGTATGCTGTTGCTGATGGTTCTGTGAAAAATGTTTGAACAGAATGAATGCCAGTCTACAGTAATCTACACAAAATTCCTGCAGGGTCAGATGCTACCGTGTACTGTACTACTATGGACATGAGCACCCCAGGAGAGTGGAGGTCAGGCTGCAGTCGGTGTCGTGGTGATTCTATGATTGCTACGTGTAAAAACTGCATTGATGAACATTTCTATACCTGGACCCTTCCCACCAAGTCACACTTTAATTGAAATTGTGATTTTCCTTTCATAGATCATAGGTGATACTATTCTCCTAAACAGAAAAAAATCTAATTTAACAATCTCACTTTTCATTTTCTATTAATTAGGATTTGTAAGTAAACTGAAAAGTGAGGGGTCATTCTGCCATGCTCCTACGATTTGTGAAACCTCTTCCATGGTTCTGACCTTTCTGTATTTCAGCTTTTTCACATCAATACCAAAGAAAGAATAATACAATATCCTAAACTGATCAAGTTGGTGTTGGAGAGCAACCGATTCTTAAATTAGCTCTAGTGGTTTACAGTGACCTTTGCAATGTCTAAACATTCTTCTGCACACATGTTGTTAAACTTTTGTCTGGCAATCTTTCTCCATGATGTTTAGGTCTTTTGTTAACACTCTCTATTCGCTTTTCCTCCTGTCCTACTAGACACTGAAGAGCCATTGCTACGAATATATTATTTGCATTTTCCTTACATTTCATGTTGGTCAAATAAGTCAGAGACTATTCCTTCATTCAAAGGCTGAGGAAAGCCTTACATCAGAGAAAGGAACAGTTGAAGTCTATGTCTATGTCTTTTACCACATTTAAAAGAATAGTATCTATTATTCTGGCAGTTTTTTCAAATTCAAAGTATTTTAAAATTTCCAGTAAAGAAGTACATAAATGGAAACTTCACTATGTCTAGTGGATTCTCTGGCTAACGGCTGGCATGGGAAATGACAAGAGGCTTTGTTAGTAGAACTGGTTACCTTTCTTCTGTCTCTCTCTCCTGCTTCCCTCCCATCATACCTTCCCTCCCCTCCCTTTCCTCCCTCTCTCCCTCCCTCCAGTTTTTCTAAAAGAATAAAAAATAATAAAAAGAACATATTACAGAATTTCACTAAACAAGATGGCAGGAATTCAACAACGGTTGTTATACTGCGTATTGTTGTCTTCAAATTAGTTGTTCAAATTAAAAGATATAAACATGCTAAAATTGGTCAAAAAATTAAGCATTAACTGTTCCTTTCCACCTTTAACTTTTTAAACCAGACTTTTCAAATATGAAGGAATGAGAGAAAATAGTATAAGAAACTCACATGCACCTGTTAACTCACCTCCAAAATATATAAACATGTAGATCTTTTAAAAAAGAAAACTCATGCACTGTGCACACTGAAAAAAAAATGTCTCCTTCCTTATCTTAGCCTAAGCAAAGTGTCTTCATTACACAACTTAATCTCACTTCTAATGGTTCACTTTATATGTCAATTTGACTGAGCCAGAGCAGTGCCCAGACACCTAGTTTAACACTTTCTGGGTGCCTCTGTGAGGGTTGTTTTAGATAACATGAAAATTTACATGGATAGAACAGTTGACTTTCTCTCTAATGTGGATGGGCCTCATCCAATCAGCGGAAGGTCTGAATGGAACAAAAACGCTGACATTTTGATAATCCTTTGAGTAAGAAAGAGCTCCTTATGGTTGGCGGCATTCTGGTGAGGACTTTGGCTTTCTCCCTGCTTTCGAACACCTCTGAAACATCAGCTCTTCTGGGTCTCGAGCTTCCTGGCCAGGAACTGTGTCTTAGACTCTGTGGTTCTGGGTCTCAGGCTTGGAGTGGAACCAGCCCATTCTCTCTCACGCTGACTTACGCAGCAGATCTTGGCATCTGCCTGTCTGTGCCGTCAACGGACCAATTCCTTACAGCAGATCTCTTCCTCTAAAGATTCCCATCATACTTGGTGTGTTTCTCCGGAAGTGAAATCTCACAAAGTGAAGAATCTGCACACCAGCTTCTTCATCCTCATCTTTATCCAACGACCCTTCTCATTTCCTCATCTGCAACTGCAGCCTACTCTCAACTTCAATCTGCACTGCATTATTCAGAGGAAGAATCCCAAGTGCACTGTGCTCATCTCAATCAGAGTTGTTTTCTCAGTATAACACACGCTCAGCTGCAAGGATTGGCCTCTCAAAGTCCCCGCCTCAGGTACTCACCCAGTGCTGTTGAGGTAGCTCTGTCCCACGCTGCAGTCCTTTGACAGAGAGGATGGATTGAACCAAAAAGCTGGCAGGCACTGTCCATTGCTGTGCCGCTCATAGCCATAGTCACTGTCGGGGAAGGAACCAAGACACACCTTTCAGCAGGTGGCAAAGCTACACAGCACAATTCTGAGTGAGGCCATGGCCAGCTTCTATTCTAATCGTAAAATTCATTCCCTGAATCAATAACTTCTCAAGAATGGAATTTTTTTCGTAGACTATCAGTTATCCCTGAAAATATCCTACAGAATCAATAACTCCATTTAAACTCCTTTAATCTTCAAGAGTAGAGTGTATTTTCATGAGGAGGATATACAATGTTAATTGCAATTGGAAAGCAGGCAGCGGTCGAAGCTCAACCTTTAGGGAACACTTCGCAGCAGAGCTTAACACACTCTGGTGTGATACAGACCTCATTACTAACGATGTCTTTGGGGTACTCTTCCAAGACATCTGGATCTACCCAGTAGAGCTGAGCCAGGTCCCCCTGTGCATGAGCCATATGCTTCAAAGTCACAGCTGAGAAGGAAATGTCCTTCAGGAGGGTTGTGAGCATTCCCTAATGAAAGTATTTTTTTCTTAAGCAGTCAGTGCCACTGGTTTGGACTGTTAGTTTAATCCTTTCTGCTTTGGAAAGAGTCGGACTTCTCTCTCTGCCCCCTCCCATTCTTGCCTCCAGGGCCACTGAGTGGCCTGAGATTCTTGGCTTCCGGGGATGAAGCTGAGCACACAGAATGACAACAAATTGCACCTCCACATGCCCAAACAAATCGAGGCAGCAATCAGCAGGCAGTAGAATGAACTGGCCCATCTGTGTAATGGAGGTAAGATGCTGGCACAGATATGAGAAGAGAAGAAACAGGCTTAGCTTTGGGAACTGGCACCAGGCAGCTGGAACTATGAGAATTCTGCATATTTCAGCTGGCTTTGGTGCTGGTTCAACACAGCATGGGCAGCAAGGCATGCGCATTACTGTCTGCAGGACACCCTTCAGGGAATTACTCTACAAGCGCTGGAGCGTGCTGGGCAAGGTCACCTGGGGGATGTCCAGAGAACCAAACTACACAGGGGCATTCATTGGCAACACTTTTCCTGATTCTGTGGTCAGGTGGGATCATCAGAGCTGCAACTGCTAGTAGGAGCCCAGCAAAGTCATCAGAAGTCACGCAGCTACCAAAATGCCATTTGATCAGAAAACCTTACAATGGCCTTGCATGTCGGTCATTTCCTACTTTTCAGAACAGAGTTCAGCTGGTGGGACATATGATTTCTAGGATAACAAATGATTCTAGGATTAGGCCAAGACACAGGGGTAGGAGGATGGAGAGGACAGAAGCCTATTTGTCTTTCTTACCCTGTGATCCTTTTACTCTGGACTACCTTAAGATTGGAAACAGAAGACAACAGCAACCATCACACCTGGCTTATTTGGGCACCTTGTAAGAAAGATCACTAAGGAAGCAAACATTTCAAGGAGAATCATGGTATTGGGATATCTCACCTCACTCTTCTCCTACCCAAGAATGAATTGCTACCATATGCTACCCGAGAATGAATTTGCTCTCTGCAAAAAGAATGGCTGTTTCCTAAGCCCAAAGCTAAAGCAGAAGTGTAAGGATCCAGCTTCTTTGCAGATCCTCCTTGAGCAGAGAGAATGATGAGGAGGTGGCCAGAAACAAGGATGTGATAAACGACGTAAACCCTCACGGTAGTTGTTCCCATGAATGTATTTCAGTCTCACTTCAAAGGGTAGGGCAGAGATCAAATCTTTTTGTCATTGTCATAAAGAAATGTTGCTCAGATTAAAACAGAAGTTAGACTGTGGAGGGCCCTGAAGAACTCCTGAGGCTCTGCTGCCCCTTCCCAGACTTCAGAGGGATCCAGCATTGGCTCTGGGCTGGGCTCAACCACGCACAAGAGGGAAACCCTGTGGGTTATTGGTCCGACTGATGGCCCCGTTTTGCAGGACCACACCAGCACTCTTTTACTCAGACAGCATCTCCAGTGACCCACCCTAACAAAGGCAGGCTTCTTCTAAAATATGAAATGTGTGTGCACACAGGGTCTCAAACACAGATATTTTGATGATCAGATATGTGAGCTGTGATTGTTACACAACTAGAAATAAATCGTTAGCGATGGATAGTTCTGTGCAAGTAAAGTTTCAATTGTTGGAAGTTTACATACATATTTAGTCACTGATTTCTCTAAGTTAAAATATGAATAAATAAAAAATACATAGTAACAGAAAATGTGATGGAAATAATTAAGGAAGGAATTGTTATTCATAACTTGTCAATCTCACCGGAAGACTGCGTACTGACCTCAAATAATGCTGGGGCATCCTCTCTGCACATTAGCTTTTGGCCGAGCAAGTGTTCTGGGAGAACTCCACGGACTCTGAGTTTGGGCTAAGCCTCGCAATGTCTCTGTACTTCTTCAGTTTAAGCTAAATTCCCCCCAACTAGGTTCAGGAGTCAAAGAACATGATGCCACCCAACCTGCGCTGCCACGGAGTTCATAAACGTCTCCCCCACCTCTCACAAACCGCAGTCTGCTGCTTACTGACTGAAGACCTTCAGAGCCAGGACACTTACTGCCTTTGAAGATCACTGTTATCTTCCGAGGACCTCAGATTCTAGAAAGGTTTTATGTAGATCGCAATATGTCTGTGTCCTGAAAAGTCAACTCGCTGCTTCCTGTGTTGCTGTTGGAAGCGGACTGGATGAATCCAGCTTCCGTCTGTGTTCTGAGACCATCAGCTATGAAGATAATTACCAGCCAACCCTTGAATTTTCTTTAAAGAAACTCCTAGTAGTGCCACATACTCATGCACAGAGACAGTAAAGCACAAGATAATTTTATATGGACTTGAGGTTTCCACTTAGCCCCATATACAGAACTGGCTTTTCAAATCCGTGCTTTCCTCAAGGAGCCTGTGGGCTGGATACACTGAACGTCCCTGTGGACAGCTGTGCCAGCTCACCAGTCAAAGTCAGCCTCTGTGCAGACACAGGGTTCAGATTCCATGGCGCCCGCGTATTTCCCCTGCATACACTTCCGCTCTGATTTCCGCTTCTTGTATTTCCTTTTGGCTCCCATGATGCACGCCTCCCCCTGTAAGGACACAGCACCACACAAGTTGGGCACCTAGCTGGGAATTTCCTTGCTTCAATCAGGACAGTTGAGGATATTCACAAATCCCACTGTAATATGCACTCCAGTAGCTCACTTTTCCCTAACAGCATTTGTCTATGTTTATTATAAAATGTGACAAGGAAAGCAATCCCAGGAAGCACTGAAGATTTGTCTGACAGCCTCCTTATGTCCCTCTGAATTTAGCAAACTTGTATTCGGTGAAGCATCAGGCTCAGTGATATGAAGGACACACAGACAAGTAAGATGGCCTTACGGCAAGTCAACGGCAGGCAAACTTATAGTAATTAAATTAAATTCTTCTACAACAAAAGAGTTATTTGCTTGGTCCTTTATGGGCTTATGAAGAAAGTATATTGCTAAGAAATATAAAGATCTATTTGTCCTGATTTATTATTCTTCTGCCCACACAACTTTACAGCACCAATTTTATGTGCATTCATCTACCAGACAGGCAAGAACGCTCAATTCAGTGTTTTTCCTTGAAATAAATAAAGCTCTGACTATCAGAAAGCTTATGTATCCCATAGGGGAAAAAGCAACGATGTAAATAAGTGATAATGTTATTGTCGAGCCTTGGAATACTGCAGGACTTTCTAGCTACTGCAGCACCTGCTGTCAGACACATAGCTCTTTCATGTTCCTGAACGTCCATCGTAAAATTACGTTTAATGTGCTATGCGCTGTCTTTCTCTAGGAAACTCATTTTACCTGGCGCCATTAAAGATCTATGTGTAAATAGCTTAGCCTGTATTTGGGTATATGATGTTTCACTGCCTGAATCTAGTGATAGCTTTGCAGTAAGAATTTCTAATGTATCCTTTGAGAGACCTGAAGAATGACTTCCGCCTTGGGAAATCAAACCAGAGATGCTTTGTGCAGTTTGATATGAGCTGAATATCTGAGAGGCCCGCAGGAACATTTCCCGTGAATAATTCTGCATTCTTGTACCACAAGTACCTTGGAGGAGGCAAGAAGCACTGTATCTTCCCAGAGAATCAAGAAAACGGGGGGAAAGATTTTTCTGGCACTCCTCAATCAGCAACACTTCGGTATTTTTTGCCTCACCTCTGTTTGTGTTGCTAGATAAAACCGAAGCTCTTGTCCTTACCCTGCCCCACCCCACGGTCACATGACACACACCAGTAAATTATGTTGGGCCCTGAGTGCCAGGTAAGTACTTCTTCTTGAGTTGTAAGTCTAAGCTAAGGACGTGTGAATTGTATCTCAGTACATCCTAGCATCACGAAGCAGAAGTATGATGTGGGACACCACACACATATGCAAGAACAAAATGGTCATTTCGTACTATAGGACCCATTTCCAACCCTCACAGAGTAGCTGTTCTTTACTGCCTCCCACACCTCCCACCCAGGACTCAGTCTCAGCTGTCTTCTCCCTACCTGGTTGTACAAGTGCCAAGGTGTGTAGTCCTCCTCGGCGCACCGTCTGTCGAAGATGGACTTGTAGTCCACTTTGACCAGCTGCCACTCAGACCGATGGCTGAAGTGTCCGAACACTCTGCGGGGTTCATTGTGATAAAAATAATCGCAATAGTGACAATCACAACAGCATTAACAACAGCTTGTGTTTTCTGAGTGTTTACTGTGAGCACAGTGTAATGCCAAGCACATCAAATGAACTGTATCTTTCAAACCTGAAAATACATTGATGAGGAGGATGCTATCACTAGCTCTATTTTACAGACAAGTAACTTGAGGCTTAGGCTGTTTTGTCAACATGAAAACACCAAAATCAAGGTACTCACAACTTGTATTTGGGCCAAGAGTCTACTTGTATATATTTGTATTAAAAGAATGCTTGAAAAAAATGAGAACACAAGGGCCGGGGATATAACCCAGCGGCACAAGCACCTGCCTAGCAAGCGCAAGGTCCTGAGTTTGATTCCCGGCACCAAAAAAAAAGAAAAATGAGAACTCAATCACAGATACTGCATTCTAGCTGGCCCAAGATTGTATTTCTAACTTCTTTTGCTAATGTGACTGTTTCTCATGGTTTCCATGATGTTTGGCCTTCCTGCCTGCCTCTGGGGTAGTGGACAGGAAGCCATGCAGTTCTAACTTCTCCCACAGCATACCTTTATTCTCCTCACTCATGCCCAGGTACATAATGTGGTCTCTGAATCAATCACAGGTGTGATGAAGCCCATGAAGGAGACTGTAAGATCAGCGTTGTTGTCTGTGCTTTACAAATATGAACAGCGAATGAAGGTAAATCATGAAATAAATTTTAAAGGCGTAGGCATGAGGCAAGGTAAATTTTTCTCACTGCTGATTTCTACCCCTGAAAAAAGTGAAGAGAGGGCTTAGAACATGTGCCAGCTATTCACTTTGGTTTTTGTAGTTTTCACTGGTAACTTTATCCGGGACTTTCAAACTTTCCCTTTCTTTCAGCTATGGTTAATTTTCTAGAGGAAGAAAATATCACAGTATCATATTTCCAATTCAAAGTATATGCTCTGCGAACCATAGGAGGCTGGATCACTAATCAAGTCTTCCACAAATTAGTTATCATCACTTTCACTCAAGAATGACTGTAAAATGCAATTTTACAAGAACAAACTGTTCTCATGATTTTTCTAATATTCCTTACAATTGGGTTAGGTGAAAAGCCAGGAAAAATAGAATCCTTTGTGGGGTTTTGATCGAAAGCTGAGTTCTCACTGAAAGAGAAATAACGCTTGTACACCTGACATTCTTGTCATATCCAGCTAGCTTAGTAAAATTTTAAATGTATAGCTGTAACTTATATGGAAACAGTTCCTTCTAATTTCTCTAGAGTCAGTCAGCATAGAAAGAACAGCGCTTCACCCTTCTGCTGTCTCTCCTGGCAATCTTGGTCTCAAAGAACCAAAACCTGGTTTTCTTTCCTCCTGGCTGGTGACTCGGCTAGTGGGAGGCACTGACTTTGCAAAGGACTTCAAACCTAACAGCAAGGAATCAAGGAGGCCGGCTCTGAGCATCGTTCTGGATTCACTTGCTTGTGCGAAGGCCGTGACACATCGAGGTTTTTACACTTACGTCATGATCAGTGTCTCTTCTCCGGGCTCGCCCAGGACCCCGTCCACAAACAGGGGAGTGGAAGTGAAACTGTATTTGCTCCAAGACCTTCCTTCATCAAAACTCAGCCTGAAGACAAAACAAAACAGTCAACAGATCTCACACACACACAAAATTTAAGTGCCTTTGCTAAGAAAATATGCAAATAAGCAAGGGGGAATGATGTTAAAAGTGACTCCGAGCACTCTAGGTTGCAAGTTCAACCCAGCCTAGGCAACTCAGCCACTTAGAAAGACCTTGTCTCTGAATGAACGAATGAACGGGACTGGTGATGAAGTTTAGTGTGGTGGAATCTGCGCAAATTAAAGAAAAGGACCTAGGGCATTGTCAAAGTGAGTCTTTCATAGGAGTAAGTTCTTAACTATATCAAAAGGTCAGTCATGTTGGGACTCAAATGAGCTAAGACATCAATAATAGGAGAGCTGCATGGAGCAGGAATTGTAACAAGTTGCTGAATTTTTTAACAAGTTATTTTATAAGTACACAGACATCAATGTAACCCATTCCAAATCCTCGCTGCTGTCCTCCAGCACCCTTTCACTATGATCTTAGGAACGGATGGTCTTTCAGAGAGCAAACCTATCTCTAAGTGGTCAACTGCTCAATGTATCCTTTTTCACATTTATATAAATTTTAGCTGACCTCACTGAGCTATAATCAATCTTACTGGATAAGAACAGAATGGATAAGAACAGAAGGAGGGGTACTTGAGGGAGAGTAGGGAATTCTGCAGTTTTGGTGGTTACAGCTAGGGTTTGAATGTTTGTGTTCTCTCCCAAACCCACTCCCTGGGAGTCTAATCATCAGTGTGATATTAGGAGGTGGGTTCTTTGGGAGGTGGTCACTTTGCAGAGGAATGCTATCAGGAATGGGATGAGTGCCTTATTAAAGTGGCCTCGAAGACCCATCTGGCCCCTTCCATGTGCAAACCCAGGAAGAAGGCAGCTATGTGAATCAGAACACAGGGTCCTCACCAGACAGTGAGTCTGCTGGAGCTCTGGCCTTCTATTTTCTGCCTCCAGAACTGAGGGAAATAGAGTTCTGTTGTTTATGAGGTACCCAGTTTATGGCATTTTTCTTAGAGCAGCCAGTAGTTGAATGAGATAGACATGAATGAGTCTCCCTTTTACTCTTTCTCTATAGATGCATCTGCCCAGGCTAAGATTCTGTTTCTCACCTGCAGCTTTGTCTTTGGTTATCAGTGTAATTAAGAGTGGAGGGGAAACCAGGCTTTTGACTTTGACCCAGCTCACATGTGGAGAGGGTAGCTTTCAAAACCAGAAGAAGAAGCCCACTGGAAAACCTTGTAGAAGTTGGGCCTTGGAAGACAGGCAGAATTTCAGAATGTCACTTCAATAAAAGGAAGTGAGGGACGCCTTACAGGAGAAAGGAGACAGGAGCAGAACGGCCTTGGGTGCTCATCTCTGTGTGGGATGCACATAGCAGAGCAAATGCTAAAGTTCAGGAGATGATGTTTGGGGAAGGCGACTACAAGTAGGTAAGCTTCCCACAAGGTGTGAGTGATGGGCAACACTGTTCTACCTGCGATTACGTTGAGACAGCAAGGTTGTGCAGAGGGTATTGTCACATTACAAAACCATAATGCAATTCCTCTCTTGGGGGTAGAAGTCCTCCCTCCTTGTTTTTATTTCTGCCCATCCTTTTGCAAATCTGCAATTAACGATCTCATTTCAACAGAGCAAAGATATAAATCATGTTCTAGTAGTGCTTAACGGTTTACTGCAAACAGTTAGAGTCTGAGAGCCTGACTCCCGGCACTGCCTCAGTAGTGTGGAACAGCAGGAGGAAGTCTCCCAGGCAGCAGCTGCCCTTACCAAAGATGTCGTATTGGGAGGGATGTGTGTTTCATAGCAACCAGGACTCCACCTTGATCAAGATACAGAATGCTGTGCTCTTCCTCAAAGATCTGCACAAAGGAAAGCAACACAACATGAACATATATCCACATTCACAATCAGGAGTACACACAATCACTTTTTGTAGGAGGACCAAAATCCTTTCTGTGATAGATGTCAATTTCACTAAAACTTTGGGAAAGTATTCTATAACAATGTTTCCCTATGTGAGTTACATGTACCACTTGTGTTCTGCAGAACAATTTTAGGTAGGAACCAAATACCTTTAAAATGACTACTACGTATTAAGATTTATATCCTTTTTATTTTCATAGTAATATCTAATGATTCCTATTCCAGTGATGTTAGGAACCTGGGTGTCATGTATGCTACATCTCTGGATGGGAAGAAGCTTAGAGATAGTTTAGTCCTAGATTTTCACTTGAACGGAGGAGAAGACTAAGCTTCCAAGAGATGTGGTGACTTCCTTATGGCACGTGAACAGTATTCACTGGAGGTGGACTTCCTGCATTGCAGTGCCCTGTCCACATCTGAGTACTTCAAATCTCCAAGGGTTTTCAAAAATGCGTTCTTGTTTAATGAGCAGATGTGTCTTAAGTAGTTCTGATCAAATGATATTGTCATGTTTAGATACATGGATGATTGGCTCTTTCTCAAACTGGAGAGAAATGAATCTGGAGTCAGGTGGATATGTGCTAGAAAGAATCTCTAACTCCTCTCTGAATAGGATGTGGTTTTCCCAGCTGAGTTGCTTGTAGAGTGCTGCCTGAATTGACAGCACAGAAATAATCTTCCTTTCTTTCGTTTACTTCTTATAGAAATAATGCACCCCAGAACTACAAAAGGAAAGATTTCTATGCTCTTTGGGGTAGGGGAAGTAGAAGAAAATGGTGTCGTGACTATTCTCCAGAGGAAGCTACCTTAGCATAGAGTATCTTCCTCATTTCCAAGATCAATTATGCTGAGGTTTCTTAAGACAATTTCTTCTCTGCCTGCTTTCTTTAAAATCTAAGAATCCTCCTGTGGCTTTACAAAGGGTTTCAAGATAAGAAATGGCAATTGGACCATCATGTGGCTCTTTCTCTTTAAAATTTAAAGCAGAATGCTTTCACTGCTAAGTGTGATTACCTGTGCATTAGATTTCAATTTACGGTGCTAGTTATTACACGATAATTAAATGTCAGTGGGTTATTAAAACATATTTATTGAAGTGTAACAACCATGCATTAGGCTCATATCTTGTTATGATTGCTAAACCTCATTAAATGCCTGTTTTATAAGCCATGGGCATCTAATTTTCATTCAGAAGAAAGGCAAGAAGCATTTAAGCTAAACACATTAGTTTTAAGTGATTCCATTTCTACTTTATCTAACATATGCATCCTGATGGTTATTACACTGCCTTTTTTATTTCTTGCACATGAAATCAAAACATCTCAGAATACCACCTGGGTAATAGGCCGCGGCTATCCCATTGCACTCCTCTGTGTTCCGACTTCAAAGCAAGGGGGATATATGAGGCAACTCAGCCCTAGAATGCAATCTACCACTCAGGCTCTACGCTCCTGCCTGATAAACCTGTAGGAATTCAACTTTCTTTTATGGGAAAATTCCATCAGACTTAATTTTGTTTTACTGTCACCTATAAATGATCTCATACACAGGTTCCCAGTAAGAAATACCATTATTAAATGACAAACACCAAAATATGTTAAACTCAGAGATTTAAGACTTTTATTAAAAAGAAAAAATAAACATACTAATAGGCTTTAAAATGTATGTGTAACACTGAGCTCAACTAGACAATTTTTATGCCATTTAAACTTTTCCAACACAAACCAGGGTATTTGCCTACCTGCCTCCAAGTATTCCCTGCATCTGAAGAGACAAACATGCTGATGTCATTGTCCGACAATTCAGAACCTATATTACCTAGAAAGAGCATATTACCGTTAGTGGAAAAAACTTTCCGCACAAGCTAACAATGGACAAAACCAGGAGCCTGTGTTGCCCACGAAAGATTTCAATGGCAAACGTTCTGTCCACACAGGGGTTTTCAGCATACCTGTTTCAGGTTCGGTGGTGCAGAAGCCTTTCTAAAATATTTTTAGCTCGCTCATTAAACTATACGCACTGATATCTAGCTTCTCAAAATAAACACCATTTACAACAGCAAGCAAAGCAGCCAAGCTTCTTACCTGAAGCAACTATGATGCTTGGAGCTGTGTCTCTGCTGGCAATGATCCCTGACGTGTAGGGATTCTCAGAGACTTTCAGGTGAAGGTGCAGTGAGCAGTAAGGCTAAGAAGGGGAGACATCGATGTCAGAAAAGCTCAGCATGTCAAAGGTCATTGAAAGCCCAGATTCAGAGCATCCATCCATCCTGTCAACTGTCCCATCTATCCTTCCAACCAGCTACCTCTCTATCCACCCACTGTATCCACGGATCCACAAGTCCATTATCTTTCTTTTAACATGTAATCTAGTTTTTGTTAGGTGTAAGACAGCTGCCAATTTGGTTAGAAAGGAGCACCTTCATTTGAGGTCTAAATTACTGGCATAATTCCATTTGCTAATTTGACAAACCTTGTGGCACCTTATTTGTAAAACAGTAGGTGAGGCTTTTGAAAAACTACAAATGCTGACCTCTGGCCTCTGACTTTACAGAGTTTTTCCACGGATTACCATGAAAACAGTATAGTTTCACAGTCGCAAGAAAGGTAGACAAAATGTTAGGAAGCTTTGGAAGGTGCAAAGATGAGTTCCCCCTTTGCACCCAGGAGAAAATGGTGCCTGACGCAAAGAAGGGTTGGCTAGGACCGCAGGTAAGATGCTCAGCACGACAAACAGCATTTCAGACCTGGGCAAGATCAATAACAAAGGGGAAAAGCAGAAAAATGGAGTAGTGCAGTATGTACCCAGATAAGACAAAAGAGGGCGAATGAGACATGAAGCCAGGAAAGGAGATTCCGTCAGGAGTACTTGGAAGAGGTCACTTGGAAGAGGGCACCGCTGAATCACGCAGCACTCGAGACCTTGGTCAAAGTGCAGAAAACGCCGTGTGTTGTGAGAAGCTGAACTGACACTTTGCAAAACACTGATCTGGTGCTTCCACCAGGGTATTATCAGAGTCAGTTTTATTCAATATAAAAGTCATATATGCACACAAAATGCAGTAATAATAAAAAATTAAACGAAATTTTAAGGACTTGTTTACCTGTGCCTGAAAAGCTTGATCAAATTCTCTGATTAAGACATCAATAGTTTTCAAGAAAAGATAAAATATCTTATAGGAATTTATTTTAAAATAGACCTTGCATTGACTTGTCAAAAATACATGTTCGTGTTTGAACCCACATTTCTTCGCATGTCTCAGGAAGATTACTTTCTAATCTTATCAACTTGAGTTTCTGGAATCACCGACGTATCCCCGTTATTACTTTTATTCTGCTCTGTACGTCTCAGCCAGCAGATACTCAGCTACAGAGATACAGTGATTAAATTTATATCGGATAGAGTAAATGACAAACTAAAAATGAGACTCAGGAATAAAAACAGCCAAAACACTGGCAAAGTAAAAAGCAGATCACAACAGGGTCTTTTCTTCACTGCCCGTGTAGAAATTAAAATGCTCAAAAAGCGAAAAGGTATTAGTTTCACGTGAAAATTTTACATAAAGCGCTGAAAATTCATTTTCACTCGAAAATGTTCTTTAAGTATATGGAAGACAGCCCCACTACAAAGACACACCACAGCCACACACTTAGGTCCCTTTTGTCCTAGAGGAAGGGTACTCCAGGTACTTTTAGATGCAGAGAGCCTGGGGTACTGTCACCCAGTACCCAGGGGAAGCGAGGTCAGATTCAAGTAGACGTGTCAAACCATTTCTCCCTTGCAAGTTTTCCTGACAACTGCAGCTTATTAGGGTCTCTCCTTCTCTGACTACCACAATGTATTTTACTATGCACAATCCTGTATTGTCTTTTCTGGTGCAGTATAATTTTATCTTCCTAAGGGACCCAGTCTACAAAGGAAGAAAACATGTCAAGCATAACTTGGCGTGCTCTGTGGCTCCTTGCATAGGATCTAAGAAAGGTAACCAATGAAAGCATGTAATAGCATGATATGCTTTTGTGTTGAGGCACGAAAGACAGTACTGTTCTACTTACAACAATACCAGGAACACTTGGAGTGGATTAAAAATCATACAGTCTGAGGACTGTTGTGACTATCTCCACGGCAATCCGAAAAGGATAGCTTGGAGATTATTCCTAGACAAAGAGGCTCACTGGAAGCCCTTTGTACCACCTAAAGAAAGCAGAACATTCCTGGATAGAAAGGCCTCAGCTTAGAATCTTGAGGCAGACGCTTGCCACAGCTGGAAGGCTGAACACCTCCGCTGACAGTTGAGCAAAGGACACGTTTTCAGGTATGGAAATCCTGTCATCACAAAGGGTACAAGGCATTTTCAGTTCTGTGTCTCAGCACTGCACTGTTGCTATGGCTTCTAGAGGGCCAGCGTATACTAATTGGAGAGGAGAAGTCATCAATTCATGTAGCAGCAGCAATATTAGAAGCGACCGCTTTGGTGCACTTTTCCTCCACTCTCACATTTGTAGCACTGGATTGCCCCCAGCTGGTTCATGGAGAATATTCTGTGGCTTTATCTTATTATTATTTTCTTTTGTGTCAAAGAATTTGCAAAGTCTACCCAAATGTTTGAATAAAAGCAATATTAACTGACTCATCTTACCCTCCGCACTTAAATTTTTGTGCCTGTTTTAGAAATGTGTCAGAGTGAAATCACCAAAAGCCAACAGAGAGATTCACTGTAGTGACTGTCAAGCTGCTCTGAGTTCTCACAGGACGCAAGTCAAAGCTGTTGGATTCTTAGCCACATGTGGCCCTGATGGGGCACTTTATAGCTCTCACTTCATTCTTTCTTGCTTTCGTGCTTTCTTTTCTCTCAGTAGCAAACAAGTCCTGAGCACCTGCCACATCCTAATAGTCACAGATTCTGTTTCCAGAGCTGTCTCCAATACAATAGGGTCACAGCAGAGCCTGTTCCAAGTGCAGTTCCATATTTCACTTTAATTTCCACATTAATAAGATACAGGGATGTACACAGAGACCACCCCGGCCTAGCTGCAAACTCAGAGAGGATGAGGATGGAGGGACCAGCATTTGTATTCACAGGCTGCCCTTTGCGGACTTATACATAGTCACAGGCCATGGTATATCATCAGTTAGTCAATTCCAGGGCCAGTTCAATCATTAGTCTTTAATCTTATCAGAATCAGGTACCAGGTGTGAGATCTGAAGCAAATTAAGCCCTCTGAAAAATGCACAAAGACGAATGCCCAGTTTTCTCAGGGAGTTCCCCAAACCCTCAAGCCCGTCTGTGGACCTCTAGGTCCTAATTTCCTTTCCTTTCCCTCTTCCTTTTAGCTTTTAGTTTTACCCACAAAAGCTTTTCACCCCTGTAAGTGTTCCACAAATGTGTGCTAGATTTTACCGGTGCATTATTTTTTTTCCACTAAAAATACTTTTCATTCCACCTGCCCAGCGGAAGCCTTTGATTACATCTCCTCATCACCCCAACTCCCCAGCTTCTGGCCCCCACCTCAGAGCTTTCTGATTCTCTAAGTTCGATTTAGTTTCCACGTGTCAGTGAGAACCTGTCTATCTGTCTTTCTTTGCCTGCATTATTTCACTAAGCACAATGCTCTCAGGTGATTCATTAATTATTTACTGTGCCTCAAGCACTGTGGGTGGCCAAGGGAAAGTTATTAAAGGATAGAGGACATTTCCCCATCATGAAATAAATACTCAACAAACAGCTAAGATTTCAAGTACGGTCCCACTACTTTCTCTTAAAGCTAGGTGTCATCACTCTTTGGATGCCGTCTTCATGGTACTTTTACTCCAGGGCTATTCATCTAAATGCTGCACTGCCAAGACAGATCAGAAACCTCATAAACAGCAAAGCAGCAGGTAAGTTCCGGAAGAGCATCCCCCGCCTCGTCCTTGCCCCCAATGCCTATACTTCGGTGCAGGCTCTGACTCGGAATTGGAGCCAGGAATTCATTAGCTGTTCAGTACAGAGTTGATGGCAAAGAACAGGGAGGCCCTCAGACTAGTTGGCAGGATGCGGAGTTTTCGCTCCACTGCAATCTGGCGCAGGACGTAGATTTACAGACAGTACAGGGGAGGTGGAAAACAGTCCTGAATCTCCTGGGGCATCTACCTGCTCAGCTCCTGTGGGAAAAAAAATGCCAAATGAATCTATAAAGAAGTCTGGGTCTCTCTCCATGAAACACTGTGCTTTCCCCAGCGCCCCAAGGATTTGTCATGACCTCCGCTCTTTTTGTCTTCCCTCTGGGGAGCCCGACGTGGAGGCGTCAGAGCCTGGGAGACCGTGACCGGTAACACCCTACCTAATTGTACAATGCAATCGTCAGAGGAAAGAAATCCCAGCTGAGCCCTCCAGGCAATCAGTCCAAAAGGCCTAAAAATACAGCCCCAAATTACCCTGGACGTCTTATTTCTATAGAATACGTTTTACAGGAGCATTCCAGCTGGGGCTGTAATTCTGCACTTGTTCCACATTTGTAACAGCCCTGCTGGAAAATCTCTTTTCTAATCACTAGCCTGTGCTTTTGGTGACACTGTCACTTTCCAAGTACTCACAATCTAAAATCACTTTTTATCTTCTCTTTGCCACCAGCTTCCAAGCCCGGAGAATGTTGTTTTTTATTTTTTTTAACAGTCTGGGTTTCCTGTAGCTCAAAGATTTTCTTTCCTATTTTGCGCATTGGTCGATTTTATGAAGTGATTTTAGTTTCTCCTCCCCATTCCCTTTGTCACTGGTATCTGCTTTCAAAAGCTTGAATTAAACACTGCCTTAAGCTTTGGGGTTAAGGAAGGAGGAAGTACTGAAGGCCCCTGGGTTCCATACCCATCTCTACCACATTAGCTCATCGCTTCTTCATCCGAATGCAGCTTCTTCATTTTATTAATGTTGGAGTCAACTTGAGCTCATGAGCTTCGGAGGGTGGATATTATGACAAATTCCTCAGTGTAACTATCAGAGGGATTGCACTGCTTTCGTTAGAAGTCCAAACTCGAAACTCAAGTAACACCTCTGAATTAAGTGCCTCCTCCAAACACAACAGATGTTCTGGGCATCGACCATGTGGCGGGTCTGACTCCTAGAGCTCTTCTCCGGAATGGCCACAGAGACAGCCATGCCCTTGCCATTCACAGAACTCCTATTCGACAGGGACAAGAGAATCCACGAACACACAGGCTGACTTCAGATAGCAAGGAGGGTCATGGGGAGAAAGGGGTTGGGACAAGTGTAACTACTGAATGCTCGTGAAATCTGTTTGAGAAGTCAGGACACAAACACCAAGGAAAATCCTGGTGGTGAAAGGACATCATTAAGAGACATAATGGACAATTCAAATAGGGTAAGATACAAGTAGATAGGGTGAGCTCATGGTGAACAAAGCAAGAGCTCATAGCCTCTCAAGTGTATAAGGAAGCACACTGAAGTCTGGCTTCAGCATGAGGAGGGAGAGGAGGCACAGCGGGTAGCAGCAGACTGAGGCCGGATCAGATGGAGGTCGTGATAAAGTAGTCTATCTTTTTCATCCCAAACTAGACAACCATTAGAAAGCCACAATAAAGCAGCGATATGATCTAGTTTTCCAAAAGAAGTTCAAATCAATACTATTTCTAAAATTTGAGAAGACAGAAATCTAGGACATAATGAGGAAGCTCTCCAGAGGGAGGAGTGGGAGTTCTGAGTTCAGAGGGTACGGATGAAGGTTTCAGCGTGATCAGGGTGGTCAAGCCTGACTGTGATCATGGCTACATGGGTACATACGTGTGTCAACATTCCTTGAACTATACTCTTAAATGGATGTCTCATTTGTACATGTGTATTAGCTCACTGAAGTTGATTTATTAAAAAAAAGAGGTCACATTGACTTTTTTAAAAATAGGTTGCCAGGAAGAAAGGACTAGTTAGGAGCCTATCACTGTAGGTCAGGTAACAAATGATCGTAGCTTGGACTAGGAATGTCCCAGGGGAGATGGAGAAGGAATTTGATACTGCCTTTGTATTTTGGAGGTACAGAAATCTTACTCATGACTTTGAGTTCTGGGTGGAAAAGGGAACACCCTGCTAAGTATTGTGTGTAGAAGTCTCTTTCAATGACCCATTTATAATGCCAAGGAGCCCAGGCAAGCCTGTTTAGGTGACATGGCTAATTCTCTCACATTAAGGCATTCACCTCCAAAGTGCACAGGGGTGGGAATGGCACGTTCCATGCATATCTGCTTAATATCACAATGTTTCACCTTGGGATAGCATTGCTAGAAAGATGGTCTTGTTCTGTACAAATGCTACTGAATGCCACCTGTACATAGCATGGCTGTTGAGTAAACAGCTCTTACATTTACCTAATCTGTCATAGGAGTTGTGCACCTTCTGTAACCGGCTGCTTTCCTCCCAGTAAGTCATCAGTAATAAGGATGGAAGCTGAGTGGGAGGGTGGACTTCAGACTTGCTTCCCTAATCCACTGTGACAACTGCGATATCCTCTGCAACTAATAAGGTCAAGATGTAGCTGCCGGCTTCTTTTCCAGGAGGGGAGTGACGCACCTGTAGCCCTGCAAGGGGAACTTGCCAAGTGATGGTCCACAGTTTGTGGGGTGGAAGAAAGCAAGCAGAGTGGGGATGACACCAAAACCAGAGTTGTGAGAACAATGACAGATAGACAGACGGACGGACAGACAAATAGAGAGACAGGCTGCCTTTACACACACACACTCACAAAGCACTTTTTACTAACATTAAGTGTACTTCTCTGTGTACATACTTGTCTTTCCCTTTTCTGACTTAAATGCAAATTAACTCTTTTAGAGACGTGAATACTATTAACTTAACAATATTTTGCAATTAGTCTCCCCATTCCGCATTCACTCAGTATCTGCTGAGCACCAAGTATGGAACACTAATCAAGAGCTACTAACGGGTGATAAGTGACTCCACAGTCCTTCGTTTCTTAATTTAGCTTCATGCAAAGGGCTCAGAGACTGCAGTCCCCGGGACGCAAGATCTGTCTTTGACCCTTCATTTGGGCACCACCATATCATCCAATATATAAATAACTTCATGCTGATAACGCTTATCTTCCAATGTAACATAACTAAAAGAAATCCAGACTTCAAATTAGGGATCAGTACATTTTTAAGGGGTCCCAAAATAAACATTTTATGCTTTGTTGCCCCTATAGTCTCTGCCATGGCTCCTTGATTCTGCCATTACAGAGGGAAAGCAGCCATGGAGAACACATGGATATCTGAGCAGGCAGTGCTCCAGAAAGACCTTACTTAGAAAAACAAGCGCTGGGTCATCATTTTCCCTCAGGCCATATTTTATGCCAACCCTACTTTTATAGACTAAGACAAATGGATGGAATATATTATAAAGAAAACAAACACAAGTTTAAATCAGTGGTTCTTAACCCTTTTGGAGTCATAACATTCTCCCACAATGGTGACAGAACATTAGCAAAGGAGTTACACCTGCACATTTTTTGTTCAGGTCAGCAAGTGTGTATTGTAAGTGTTCATCATTAGGTCTGTAAAAGGTGGTTTCCATGAGAAATGACAAGCGTTTAGGGGATAACCTCACACCACAGCTGGAGATTCTCATCAGAACCTGGAGGTATAGCTCAGTGGTAGGGTGTGCACTTAGCATGCCCAAAGCTTAATCCCCAACAGCAAAACAAAGGAAAGCAAAGCAGAACAAAGCAAAGCAAAGCGAAGCAGAGCAGAACAGAGAAAAGCAAAGCAAAGTAAAAGTTCAGGCTGGAAGCATGGATCCCAGAAGTGAGCAATAGCCTTAACCATGTTCTTTTATTTTGTTGATCACTGCAAAACGTAGACCTATAACTCCTCCTCCCCTCTTCCTTCGAGCACTTCCTTCCCATTTTGCTCATCAACTGAACAAAAATGCCAGAACTATCTGCATCGTCCCATTAAGAGGACAATGGAAGGGGGCCCTTTCCAGCCCTCCACCATGGGGGGCATTCTGCCCCAACATGAACACTCACCAGCAGACAGTGCACGGGGTCCCCCCTTAAATCCGTGTCTGGTGCCTGCAGCAAGCGCCAGTCTCGGCCTTTGTTGTACGTGATGAAAGTCTTCACTTGGTTGTCAATCTTCTTGTTCGCCAAGAACATTCCCTTTATCCCTGCTACCTGGGAAAAATTGACATGGCTGAAAAAGACATCAATTTGGGGAGGAATATCTTTAGCTATTTTAAAAAGGGGCTGCCCGATTCTTCCATGAGCCCTTGTCTGGGGGACCAGCAGGGTGATGGCAAAGTGGGGAACTCTGTTTAGGTATCACTCTCCAGCCTGCCAGCTGACAGCTGCAGGGCTGTGTCCCCCATATGGAGATCATAACAAATTTGACAGAAGTTTATTAACACACCTAGCACAGGTCAGCAGGAGTTTTCAGTGGCCAAGAAATAAACTGATATTGTCAGTTGTGTTATTTAGCAAGTTATACAGAAATAGAAGATATGTTCAATGTATTTCAGTCTTAAGCACTTTGCCTCTTTTAATTGTTTCAGCCCTCTTGGTAACATCACATACTCTATTTCACACTTCAGCAAATCTCAGGTTTCTCCTGGTAGTTCTCCTTTCCCAAGGACTCACTGGCACACACACGCACACACAGTGAGGGTCAGATGTGGAATTTGAACCCAGAACTTTATGGCTTCACAGCTCATGCTTTGAATGGCTATGTATTATTCTGCCACGTGGGCAACTGAAAAAAAGTTCTTCATTAAAGATCCTGATGTAATCACTATTGCTTTTCCCTTCTATACATGATCTCTTTATTAAGTCACAAATTCATTGCGTATTCAAGACAAAACTTTTAAACTTAAAGAAGCAATACGCTCTGTCATTGAATAATGTCTACTGCACTCATAACAACATTGCTCTCACCATGAGCAGCTCTTATTAATTATTTTACACTGAACATGCACTTGCCTCCTTTCTTGTATACACTGGGGAAGAGGTAGCAACTAGCAGTTGTCACATCTGTACAACAGCAAGTCATCCATTGTGCATTCTCTTTTCAAGTGCTTCAGACTTTATCAAACACATCTCTTAGCCCTGTGTGAAATCCGCACAAGGTAGGGAAACTGGAGTGCAGAGAGGAAAAGAACCGAAATGTGTCGAGCCGCGCATTCTAACTCACGTGTGTCCTAGCTGATTTAATGCTCACAGTCACCAGGAGTTATGATTGTCAAGAGCCGCATTTTGAGAATGAAGAAATGGACAGCTCAACTAAATAGCTGTGTGGAACATACATAGAAACAATAAATAAACTGGCAGGCAGAGATGAGCCCACTTAATTTAACTGGGCCCTTATGTTGTAATGGGAAAATTTTTAAGTGAGAGAGTGGAAAAAAAATAGCTGTCATCTTCCAAGTCCTTGTTAACATCAAGCACTGCGCCCAGTCCCTTATAGATAAACCTTCTAGTACTTATTTCAAACTTGCTAACAACTTTTATTCCAATTCCACGGATGTGAAAACTCAGGTGTAGATAAAATCAGTTTCTTAAGATCACAGGGATCTCAAATCTGTTTGACTTCCAGAACGCTTTCTGTAAACACAGCTCTGAATTTGTCAATTCAGGGAGGCTGGGTTTTGATCAATAGAAGACAAGCTTTGCCTTTGCTTTTGACACAGTCAGACCTCATTAGTTTGTACATGCTGATTTGACATCTGGGATAATTTAGAGTTGGGCCAAATTTGCACTCTTGTGGAACAACAAATTCGTTAAACAAATAAATGCCTTAAACGAGTCGCTGAGAGGAATACTTTGAAGTACTTAGGAAAACAAGCTGCATTCTGGGCAATCAACAGCAGTCAGTACAATTTCTTGTGCATTGTAGATCCTCGACAATGTGGAAGGCACAAGCTCCAGGCGCGTGCTCCCTCCCAGCAACCCTGTGTTAATTACAAATAATATTTAGTTATTCACCATACCAGCTCCATAAGGGCTGCTCTGCAGGAAACTTCAAATTAGTTTTGCATACGTTCGGGAGGCTATTATATACTTAAATAGGACCAACCTCCAGTTCTTTAAAAATTAAATTTCATAAATCAGGATTTCTCAAAGCTATTGTAGTCTTCTCCTTATATCATACCCAGAAATGAGGACTGACTCTGTCCTAGGCATTCCATGCTCCAGAGGGTTATAACAATAAGTGCAGAAGGAATAAAAGTGTTACTTATCCCAGTAGTTCCCTTGCCAATTTTCCTTCGTGCCCTTCCTCTTTTGGTCAGAGTGCCAGAGCATGAAAAGGCGGGTTAAGGAGCTGGTTCATTTGATTTGCAGAACTGGTGACTTTATTGGCCCCTGACTGCTTGGCATTATCAAATGCCACTGAGCAGAGTTGTGGCCTGGAATTCATTTCTGACAGCTTGGCCTCCAGGTTTATCCTGAGGAGTAAAATCCTGGCAAATTAGAAGGAGTAGAGAAACAGGGAATCAAGCTGGAGAAAGACTTATATTCCTCTTTTGGCCGAGGCACTTTATCCATCGGAGGTGTCTTCATTGCTGCCTTCTCCTGTCATTGTCTTCAAAGACTGCCACCCTGCTCCTAGGTATTTGTGCCACCCACTCTGAGCATGAAAAATCCATCTTTCCACATCTCTCACTGCAACTGATGGGCTTTTTTGTAAAGTCTCATCATCTGTCTTGCAATTTCTACTCTTTCATTGTAGAACTTCAGATGTCAAAACAGCAGCATTACTGCCCAAATGTGGAATCGTGTGAGAGTACATGTGTGAACACTTACTTGTATGTATGCATGTGTGTGCATGTGTGTGTGTGTGTGTGTGAGGTGTAGGTGCCACCAAGGTATACATTGCCAGATAACCTCTGTCTCTACTCCAAATGCATAGTTAATAAAGTGCGTGTGCTTGACATTGGGCATGGGATGGGGAAATGCACTGTTCCCAGTGGAAACTGTGGCACTGCAAAGACACAGAACTTCCCTTGAAGACGTTCCTGTGAAAAAGATGTATCTCTACTATTGAGAGTTTGTCCACCTTTGGGGAACGACCTGTTAAATTGTATGCCTACTGAATTCTGAAAATGCTGTGTGTGCTATTTTTGTTTCTTTGCTTTTTATAGGAAGAATTCATAACTGCAGTTTCAAAAATAATTGGCAATTACTTTGCATTATTTACCATCATAGACACCAAGACATCAATTTGATAGACTTTAAATATGAAGGTAAGATTTGGATATCATATGTCTCCACAAGGGCTCTTTTTGTTGAAGGCTTGGTTGCTGATGTTTGGGAAGTTATTGAATCATAATGGCGATAAGTTTATCAGTGGAGTAGTAGACCATAATTTGATTGCATTTTGGGAGTTTACAGAAACAGGAGGCGGGTGCTAGCTGAAGGGAATGGATCACAGCGGCATGACCTTGGGGACAGCATCTAGTTCCCAAACCCTCTGTGATGGTGGATTGCTTGTGTCAACTTGCATAAGAGAAGCTCAGCTGAACTGGATCAGCAGTCCCTGCCCTAGGTTGTAGAAGACCCACCCTAGGGTGGCTTGTCACCTGGACAGTATAAAGGAGAAATGAAGAAGGACGGATCTGCTTCTGTTTCTCTGGAGGAGCTCCAGTCTTTGCCTTTATTTTGGACACCATCTCCTGGCTTCCAGTGCAGACTCTTCAGCTTCTGGCACAGATCCTTCAGTCTCCTGGTGCAGATCCTCAGCCTTCCAGCATAGATTCTTCAGCCTTCCATCACAGACCCATTGGCCTTCTGATATGAATGCCTGCGGAACACTGCAGGGAGCTTCAAATCTTCTACTGGATCATTCGGGTCTCCAGCGTGCAGACAGACCCTCTCCACCCTTCCGCTCGGTCTGTGGGTGGTCACTGTCAGGAATCTGGTAAATTCTTATGTATTTGTAGATCTCGTATTACATCTGTTTCTCTAGTAAACCCGGACTTGTACACCTTCCTCTCTGCTTCTTTTTGTGTGTTTCCTGGCTGCTGTGAGGTAAGCGACTTTCTTCAGACATACCTTTCCACCAATTTTTCTGCCTGGAAACATGAGAGCCAAGTGACCATGGGTGGAAACCTCTGAAACAATGGGAAAAAATACCTCTTTCCTCTTTTAAACTGTTACTCTCAAGTATTTTATTATAGCAATGAAACATCGGCCAACACAGACTGTTATAGCTCAACCCTCAAGCTAATACAGAGTACAGCCACACATATTCTGCACCCCAGGAGGACAATCGCAAAGCATGACCTTTTTCCTCTTATTTTGTTCTTGGGGTTCACATAGGCCACTCCCAAATCCTGGAGCGACCTGTCCATGTGTTTGTCCCTACTCAGCTTTCCAGCTCCAACTTAGTCAGCCATTCCCAGAAGTCAGAATTGCTTTTCATCTTGATCTCCCCAACTCCTTTCTGTTCTTCTGTTCATCCCTCAAGTCTGGGTCTCAATCACTGTGGAATTTTCTTATGGATGACATTTCTACAAACTTCCCATGTACTGTTTTGTACAATTTTTATTTTATTCACATGTGTGTGCAGTACATAATGATTGCATTCATTGTGAGGAGCTGGTATATGTACATAACAAATCTTCATTTTTTCATCTCCTCCCAGTACTCTCTATTATCTTTATCTCAAGAAGGAATTCACAGTGTCTCTCTTCCCGTGAATTCTCACATTATTGCCTCAAACACCAACATCAGCTTTGGGTTTTCATTCACTCCACCAGTTCCTTCTTCACAACTCATAATAGTGAAGTCACTTTGTACCAAGGACCCTAGTTTCACTTTCAGTAAAATAAGTAGCAAGTGTCCCGCATTAAAAATATAAAAACAATGACAGTAACCTCAGCTTATTGAGTGCTCATAAAATGGTTTCCACTATATGAAAGAATTTTGCAAACATGAGTACATAAATCTTTCCATGCACTCTAAATGGTAGGCCCAATATTATCCCAATTATGCCTTTGAATAAACTGAGGTCCAGATGTAGACATTCACTTGCCTAATTAAGATCACTCTGAGAGAGAACTTAAAATATAGACTCAAACTTAGTGTGTCTAACTATAGAATATATATAGTTAGCTCTGTGTCTGTATTACATTGTTTTCAAACTTCTCTCTCATCCTAGATTATGCTGAGAAAGACATGAT